CCACCACCACCCTGAGCAACTCCTCTTACCCCAATGTCGGGTTCTCCCACTGTCAAGGACTCCAGTTTGTGGGTTCCAGTATTAGACCTCAGCCTACCTCATGCCATCTCTCATTTCCCAGCCACAAGTGACACCCACCAGGAGGAGACTTGAGTTTCCAACACTGAGGCTTCACACACATATGTGTGAGCACACACAAGCGAGGGGGAGGTGGAGGGTAGGGGGGGAGTTGTGTGCCTTGAAATGTCTATGGGGACATCCTACTATCATTTAATTCCATTTTTCCAAGAACATTTTTATTTCCCTCATATATAGCTCCCCCCCAGACACACACTTATATATGCACACACTATCAGGCACACATCTACATATACACACACACAGCACTGGCACATGATAGGCATCACTTGCAATCACCCCTTCTTCTGCATCTAAATTCTTCTCTTTTTAGATCCGATTCAAAAGCCACTTCTGGGTCCCCCAAAACAACCACAAGGAAAACAAATAATTATAGTGCTAGGCTTGGACACAGACACGTCTTCTGGAACTCTGATGACCTTCCCTCCACCACAGCGTTGTATTGAGAGCTCTCTGAGCACAAACTTAGTCTGGGTAAAACTTAATGTTATATTAGGGCAGGAACTAGCACAATAAACAAGGTCCCCTTTCCAAATGAGCAAAGGCTCCAAAGGGGTGGGTATTGGCCTGGGATCAGGAGGCAGCCCCACAGTTCCAGCAGAGGTGAGGACACCAGAGTCTCTGCAGGCCGGACCAGAGGGAGAGGATTGGCAAAACCACTGTTTTAGAACAATGGCTTTCAAGTGTGGTCCCAGGACCAGCAGCAGATACAGACAGCAACTAGGGACTTGCTAGACAGGCCAATTCTTGGCCCTACCAATACCTAATGAATTACAAACTGGGGCAAGGCCCAGAGACAATTGACTTCTGCGCCAGTCTTCCAAGCCCACCAAGTTTGTGAACCAGTGTACTAGGCCACCCCAAGGTCTCTCCCTGGCTGCCTCCCATCTCCCCTCAGAAAGAATATCTGGCTGCTGCAGTTACGCAGGCTCTCTGAGAGGTGGACATCTCAAAAGATCAAAGGGCACAAAGCCACCGCTTACTCTCAGGGAAGGGTAGCCCAGAGAGATCACAGCACTAAAAAAACTCAGTCACTGCCACCAAGTCAATTCTGACTTAGCAACCTCACAGGACAGGGCAGAACTGCCCAGTGGGCTTCTGAGGCTGGACATCTTTGCAGGAGTAGAATTCTTTCTCCCTGAAAGCACTTGGGGGTTCTGAGCAGTGGGAGGAGATCTGACCTTAAAGCCTAGTGTGTAAGCCACTGCGCCACCATGCTAACAGAGAAAACTTTTACTGGCCCCCCTGCACTTAGCCCTCCCTGGCCTGAGCCTCCCTGCCTCTCTAGGGTCCTGCCCTACTGTAACCTAATATTCCACCCACAGGGGACATTACTTGCAGTTCCCAAAAGCACCAGACAGTCTTCTCCAGGCCAACAATGGTTCAGATCCTTACCTTGCTCCAAAGGGCCCACCTCAAAGGGGCACTCCTTGACCTACCCCTCAACTCTCTTCAGTCCCATCTGTTAACATCACAGGACCCATGGCCACACAGTCTTCACTGAAGACATCAACTCTGTGAGGGGTTCCACCAGCAAAGGAAGGGGGGAAGAGAGTGGGCGCAGAGACGACCCCACAATAAACACTTGGAAGAAGGAAGCCAAGTTCTGAACACCCTTGCCATTCCAGGATAAAACTCGCGGCATGATTCCTCAGTGTTTGAAATAATCTGAACTGTAACCGGCAAAAAAAAAAAGTGAAGTTTCAAAGCCATTCAAGACTGCCACAGACGAACAAGCAGGGCCAGGTGCCCTGGGCCAGGACAAGGTGCCCACCTGGGAGAGGGAGGCAGAAGTAAGGTGTTTAAAAAAAAAAAAGGTGGGGGTGGGGTGGCTGCACACACACTCAGGGAGTTTAAAGCAATTATTGGCTGGGAACCTGGAGAGGGAAAGTTGCCTGATCTTTTTCCTGCTTTCCATTCCCAAGAACTCTAGGTTCTCCCAGTCCATTTATCATACCAAGTGTGGGCTGCCCAGGCAGATCCAAGAGAAATCTCCCCCCTCCACCCAGGCAGCTCCTGGGGGGGCGCTGGGGAGGGAGGGGCCCTGGTTCCCAGTTTCCCATCCCCTAGGTGTGTCATCCTGGGAGCTTGGGGAGTTCAGCCCACACTTGTGGAAAGGGGGTATCATCCATGCTGCCCACCACAGTCTGCCCAGGCAAGGATATTCCCAGGTCCTGGGAAAAAGTTGGGTGGACAGAAAAATTATAGGAGGGGCATCCCTTAACTTCCTTCAGTCAAACAAAAAAGATCCCTCTGTAAGCACCAGCTGGCAGGTAGGAGCCTGTCTCCCTCCTGTCTGGACACCCAGGGCTGAAAGGAACTCAGACTCTGCGTGGCGCCCCTGCCCAGACCTGGGCAGACGGTTACCTTTGGGAGGCTGAGGGTGAGGGGGGTGGGATAGAACAAGAGGAGCGGTGTGACAGCCAGCGACTGTGCTGGCAGGGTTGGGGCTCTCAGGCTGGGCCCTGATTGAATCAAAACAGGGCCTTCCACCAGAAGTGCAAAGACGTGTATTATTTTATGGGGGAAGGGAGGTGTCACCGGGAATGTGAAAGAGGGAGGGAGAGGAAGGGGCTGGAACTGGCTGTAATTAACTGGTCTGCATAAAAGAAAGACAAAGATGACCAGATAGGTTAGGGAAAAGGACGGTCACAAATGCCGCCCCCCTCCCCCCTAATCCCTGGGGCAGTACGGACTGGGGGTGGGATCCAAGAAGAAGGTAAGGATAGGGGTTGGGTTTCCTTCCAAGGAACCACAGCAGTCTCTTAAGAGGCTGGAACCCCAAGGGTCCGAAGCTGGGAGCTCTTGGTGGCAGCGCGGTTTAAACCAGAAAAGCACGCGTACGGGTTCCCGTTGAAGCGCCAGCACAAAAGGCTGCCTTGATTTGGAGGGGGGCGGAGGTAAGCGCAGGGTGTTTCTAAGAGAGATCTACACATACTCGGTTAGGGACAGCCCGTCTGGATCTGCCGCCAAGAACGCTGGGTAATCTGGGGCGGGGTGGGGGGTGGTTCTCAGCTCTGGACCTCAGTTTCCCAATGATAGCGTGGGAGAGAGGGAAGCAAGAGTAAATGGCTTTTACGTCCGTGACAAGAAGGCCTCTCGAACACTTCCCTCCTCCGGGTCCGGAAGGGCTGGCTGCGACTCTTAGGAGGGTCAGGTGGGGCAAGGCGCTGGCGCACGGGCTCCCAGCGCCTGGTTCTGGGCCCAGAGACTGGACGGACGTTCTAGGACAGCAGCGAAAACAGAAGGGTGTCGGGAGGTCTTCCACCGCAGGGAAAGCGTGGGAGGGGCAGACTTGGGAAGGGGTGTGGGAGGGAGCCCGGATCCCCAAATCCTAGCCTTAAGTTGACGACAGGGTTCCGGAGCAGCGCTCCGTCTCGATTTCCCAAGCGCACGGCGTCCCCAGCAGCGCTCCGGGGTGAAGCCCAGGGGCGCCGCCTTACCTTTTCCTTCTTGCCCTGCCCGCTCTCCTCCGCGGCCGGAGCGGCGCACTTGTTGAGCAGCTTCTTGCTTCCGCAGGACGTCGGGCTCCAGGTGCGGCCGCCAGAGCAGGCGCCCCCCGTGGGGTCCCCGGCGCCCCCGCCCGCGGCGCTCTCCACCTTAATCAGGCGGTGCTTGGGGGAGATGTAGCTGCCCCTCCCGCCCTCCCTGGACATCCCACTGCCCTTTGGGGACGCCGAGGACGAGGAGGAGGACGATGAGGATGACGACCAAGGTGAAGGCAAGAAGAGCCCCTGGCAGAAACGCGAAGAAAGACCCCTGATGGCATTTAACATCAAATGAGCCCTCCCAGAGCCACCCGCCGTGGAATCTAAAATTGCCAAATATCCTTTCTTACAGAATCTCTGACTTGGTGGTGGAGGAGGAGGAAGAGTTGGCTTCAGCT